TTCAATTGCAATCTTAAAAAAATAAATTAGCTCATAATATCTAATAAAGACAATATTCAAAAAAATTTAACCATGAATCTAAGTCAAAAAAAATAAAAAAAAACACAAAAATAAGAGAGAAAACTAATAGTTAAATCTTTGTGATCACGATTCTCCCTCTAATTCTCCTGTTTTCTTGCTTTGATCTTGAGTTCAAATCTCCAGAATAGTTGCTTGCTGACTCCTCCTCAAAATCTATTAAAAAGGTCCCTTAAATAGGCTCCAAATAACCTAATTTTCAAAATCTCGTCAACTTTTCTTATTTTTGAAAAGTCACCCAGCGCTGTGGCGTTACTTCTCCAGTGCTGCAGCTTTGAGCTCTCTGGAAATTTGTATGTGTGTTTGCTTTTGTCAACGTTGCAGCCTTGTACTCCTAGTGTTGTGACAATCTATCAATTTCAAATGTGAGTTTCATCCTGATATGTTCCGAACTGGGCAAAGTGATAAATATAAAAGTTTTAGCCCTATCTCTTAAATTTTCAATGGATCAATAATCACATCAATTGGACTCCTAGATTGAAAGATATGTTTCAAATACCGCATCATGTTCAGTCCTTGTGTACTACTGCAGTGCTCCGACTTTGACAAATATTTTGACCATGATAGATTCAGAACTGGGCCAATTGGTAAACATAAATGTTGTAGCCCTTCTTCTTATAATTGTAGCGGTCTAAGAATCACCTCATTTGGAGTTTTGTAGAGAGAGATATGATCAATATACCAAAATATATATGAATAAAGTCATTATCATACTTGCACTGATTTTCATTAAATGAGCCTTTTTCATCAATTTTCTACAAAAGTCATAAGAGAAATTAACAATAACTACTTTTAAAATAATTTAAAACAAAACAATATAAACTTTAACTAAAATAACTTAAATTAATCACTTAACAAGTAATCACACTTAAACTAAAAAAACACCTAAATGTTAAAATTCGAATCTAAAATCTCAAAGATCTAGCTACTTAAGCCCCAAAATATATCAAAATAACTCTATATAATAGAGTTACCAAAGATATTGAGATAAAATCCCAAATAAACAATTTAAGGTAACTAAACGGTTCATAACATTTAAACAATCCTGAAGTAAACTAACACTATATGCTAGCCTACGTAATGTCACTTTTCAAAGTTTTCCATATGTTTGACTAAATCACAACCTGAAAAAAAGCGAAGAAAAGAGTCAGTTCAACAGCTTACCAAGTGACTAACATCCCTTCAGCTGGATTAAGTATGCATAAAACATTTAGGCTAAAAGTTTTTATTCTCATATAAATATCAAAAACATAATTTTTTTTCAATAATCTAATTCAAATAATCGAACTAACTTAATTCTGAAATTTTTAAATAATGGATAAAATATGATTTCACAATTATTATAGATTTTAATGGTCTCCAGTAACGTATTATGGTCATACTTAACCCCTATGACATAGGTCATAATCATTACAGAAACCTTAATCAATCTTAATAGCATGGGTCATAAAAACCACAATTAACCCTAGTGGCATGGGTCATAAGTATATTAAAAGCTAGGGGAGAGCATCGGTCGGTTCGGTCGGTTTTGAGGAAAAACCGACTAAAAATTTTTGAGATATAACCGACCGAACCG